AGAAGTACTGGTGGCCTACCTTGGCTAAGTTTGTGAGGGTGTATGTTTCCTCATGCTCAGTGTGCGCCCAGAGTAAGGCACCTAGGCACCTCCCAGCGGGTAAGCTACAACCTTTACCAGTTCCACAATGACCATGGTCTCACCTGAGTATTGATTTTCTCACTGATCTTCCCCCCTCCCAAGGTTACACCACTATCCTGGTCGTTGTGGACCGCTTTTCAAAGTCTTGCCGCCTCCTTCCTCTGCCCGGTCTCCCCACGGCCCTACAAACTGTGGAGGCTCTGTTTACTCACGTCTTCCGGCACTACGGGGTACCAGAGGATATAGTGTCCGACCGAGGTCCCCAGTTCACGTCTAGAGTCTGGAAGGCGTTCATGGAACGTCTTGGGATCTCGGTCAGCCTGACCTCTGGTTTTCACCCCGAGAGCAATGGGCAGGTGGAAAGGGTGAATCAAGATGTGGGTAGGATCCTGCGGACCTACTGTCAGGACCGGCCGGGGGAGTTGTCGGTGTTCTTGCCATGGACAGAATATGCTCTGAACTCCCTCCGCCACTCCTCCACTAACCTAACACCCTTCCAATGTGTTTTGCCAGACCGAGGCTCCCGCGGTGGATGACTGGTTTCGGCTTGGGACGCTGCCCACATTCGACTCCAGCGCGCCGTACGTCGTCAGAAGGCTAACGCTGACCGCCACCGCAGGGAGGCCCCGGTGTTCGTACCGGGGGATCGGGTCTGGCTCTCGACCCAGAATCTGCCCCTCCGCCTGCCCTGCCGGAAGCTGAGCCCGCAGTTTGTGGGGCCGTTTAAAGTCCTGAGGAGAATAAACAAGGTGACATACAGTGGGGAGAACAAGTATTTGATACACTGACGATTTTGCAGGTTTTCCTACTTACAAAGCATGTAGAGGTCTGTAATTTTTATCATAGGTACACTTCAACTGTGAGAGACGGAATCTAAAACAAAAATCCAGAAAATCACATTGTATGATTTTTAAGTAATTAATTTGCATTTTATTGCATGACATAAGTATTTGATCACCTACCAACCAGTAAGAATTCCGGCTCTCACAGACCTGTTAGTTTTTCTTTAAGAAGCCCACCTGTTCTCCACTCATTACCTGTATTAACTGCACCTGTTTGAACTCGTTACCTGTATAAAAGACACCTGTCCACACACTCAATCAAACAGACTCCAACCTCTCCACAATGGCCAAGACCAGAGAGCTGTGTAAGGACATCAGGGATACAATTGTAGACATGCACAAGGCTGGGATGGGCTACAGGACAATAGGCAAGCAGCTTGGTGAGAAGGCAACAACTGTTGGCGCAATTATTAGAAAATGGAAGAAGTTCAAGATGACGGTCAATCACCCTTGGTCTGGGGCTCCATGCAAGATCTCACCTCGTGGGGCATCAATTATCATGAGGAAGGTGAGGGATCAGCCCAGAACTACACGGCAGAACATGGTCAATGACCTGAAGAGAGCTGGGACCACAATCTCAAAGAAAACCATTAGTAACACACTATGCCGTCATGGATTAAAATCCTGCAGCGCATGCAAGGTCCCCCTGCTCAAGCCAGCGCATGTCCAGGCCCGTCTGAAGTTTGCCAATGACTATCTGGATGATCCAGAGGAGGAATGGGAGAAGGTCATGTGGTCTGATGAGACAAAAATAGAGCTTTTTGGTCTAAACTCCACTCGCCGTGTTTGGAGGAAGAAGAAGGATGAGTACAACCCCAAGAACACCATCCCAACTGTGAAGCATGGAGGTGGAAACATCATTCTTTGGGGATGCTTTTCTGCAAAGGGGACAGGACGACTGCACCGTATTGAGGGGAGGATGGATGGGGTCATGTATCGCGAGATCTTGGCCAACAACCTCCTTCCCTCAGTAAAAGCATTGAAGATGGGTCGTGGCTGGGTCTTCCAGCATGACAACGACCCGAAACACACAGCCAGGGCAACTAAGGAGTGGCTCCGTAAGAAGCATCTCAATGTCCTGGAGTGGCCTAGCCAGTCTCCAGACCTGAACCCAATAGAAAATCTTTGGAGGGAGCTGAAAGTCTGTATTGCCTAGTGACAGCCCCGAAACCTGAAGGATCTGGAGAAGGTCTGTATGGAGGAGTGGGCCAAAATCCCTGCTGCAGTGTGTGCAAACCTGGTCAAGACCTACAGGAAACATATGATCTCTGTAATTGCAAACAAAGGTTTCTGTACCAAATATTAAGTTCTGCTTTCTGATGTATCAAATACTTATGTCATGCAATAAAATGCAAATTAATTACTTAAAAATCATACAATGTGATTTTCTGGATGTTTGTTTTAGATTCCATCTCTCATATTTGAAGTGTACCTATGATAAAAAATTACAGACCTCTACATGTGGCGCAGTGGTACTCCTGCGACAGACCTGTACTCCTGAGTGGCGCAGTGGTCTAAGGCACTGCATCGCAGTGCTAACTGTGCCACTAGAGATCCTGGTTCGAATCCAGGCTCTGTCGCAGCCGGCCGCGACCGGGAGACTCATGGGCGGCGCACAATTGGCCCAGCGTTGTCCAGGGTAGGGGAGGGAATGGCCGGCAGGGATGTAGCTCCGTTGATAGAGCATGGCATTTGCAACGCCAGGGTTGTGGGTTCGATTCCCACGGGGGGCCAGTATAAAAAAAAAAAATGTATTCACTAACTGTAAGTCGCTCTGGATAAGAGTGTCTGCTAAATGACTAAAATGTAAATGTAAAATGTACATGCTTTGTAAGTAGGAAAACCTACAAAATCGGCAGTGTATCAAATACTTGTTCTCCCCACTGTATATACTTACATTTTTGTAATGTACACAATTGAACAATATTTGCTGCTCTATCTAGCCTGAAAGCTTTTCAATACTTAAGAACAAAGATGGGTCAGAGAATACTATTATACTATACTATATACTACTAATACTATTTGAGGAAGTAATTTAGAGCCGCTGTAATACTATTGTTAGGCATAGAGAAAATCATACATTAAATCACACACAAAACGGAACTTTGGGGAATCTGTGTATTTTCTTCTATAAAACAAGACATTTACAACTGAAATCACATCCATATAAATTACAACAGCAAACACAATATATTTTAAATACAGATCTCCTCTCTTCATTCCTTTGCTCACTTGACCAATAAAAGAACAGACAATATAAATGTCCCTTATATTCACTTGCAGTCCGGTGCATTGAAATAGTGGCCATAAATGCAATATTGCCTATGTTGGGGAACAAAACTACCTACATTATTTTTATCATCTAACTGCGGACTGGGAAATATCAAATTGCACGTTATTTTATCAACGTATTATCCATATAGTTCACTACTTTAAAGCAGAGCCAAATAGGGTACAATTTGAGACGCTGACGATAACTCAGTCTTAACTTTTAAACAGCATTCCGTCTTGGGTCTCCTTTACGTCATGACCACTGATAGGTAATTTTAATAAACAAGTTCCCACCATGTTATTACTAAAGACATGTCAACTCCAAGACCAGGGTCAAGCCTAATTCCCCTACCAATGGATAGAACTGGTCTCTATGTCTTACTGCCCTCTACTGGTTGAGAATGCTCAATGCTTTGCTACAGTCTGTATATCCCTGTTGAATGGATGGCTTTGTGCAAACAATGTCTCCATTGTACTTGAATGATATATGGGTAGACACACAATGATATCAGTGCCATTTTAAATATCTAACCCTCAGGTTAAGGCTAAAATATGAGATATGAAAAGTGTTCTCCCTACAACTTCACATCCCTAGTTGTAATTACAGCTTTACTCCCCAGGTGGGACAATAATTTCTGTCACTCACACAATCTTCAAAGGCAGAACACAAGGTATTCTCTCGTGACTCTGCTATATAACACTGCAACAAAAAAAACTGTATGAAGGTAACAGAGACATTTAACAGTGTGACAACATTATATGAAATTGAAAGAAAATGAAAAATCCATTGTGCAATTGATATGTTTTCATGTACAAAGCTGAACAACAAATAAAGGGTTAAAATATGAGGGGAAAAGGCCTCACAGGTACTGTACATGAAAACAAGAACCTAGTAGGTAAGTACGGGCTCCACAGTGAAGTACCTTCCTCTCTTTTAACCCTTCCACTCAAGTGAATCTTCTGAAGTTTTTAAATCTCTGCCAACAATTCTTAACCCACTACTGGACTAAATGTATGGTGAATGAAATACTGGTGATGTGTGACTAATATGCATTGTGTTGACAACAGATCCCAACTACTAAAGGTCCATCACAGTCATTCCCTTGTGGACCATCCACCCAAACAAATCACTCCCATTTAACTCGGGAAAAGAGGTGTGAGATGAGGTAAATATGCATAAAATCAGAGAAAACACAGACATCATACATACCATAATCAAACCCCCCCATACACATCATCAACCCCCCCCTTCCACACTTTTTTCTTTTTTTCTTCTGTCAGCCACTTTTCTGCTACAAATGCCTCAATCACTGAGAATCAGTTCTTAAACTGAGAACCCCCAATCACACTTCCAATTCACAAGAACAGTACAGGGAATTAAAAACGCAATACAACTCATAAATCCTGTATGTAATATGTATATGTGTCCGTGTGAAAAGTCCTTCCTTGTTGTGACGTAGGGGTGCAGGATTGGGGTTTTATAGGACTCGTGGATTCTCCTTGACTGTCAGTGTCTGTTCCCAGTCACACCCTCCCTCCACTTCCTGCCTAACAGGCATAGAAAGACGCCTGAGCAGAGTTCCCACTTCCGTTAGATTGAAAATACCGTATCCCTGAAAACCGGATGTTAGCATTTTCTGGCGACTCTGCATAGGCTATTTCCTGCCTTAGCCAAAGTTTGACCATAGCTCCATTCCACACCATGAGCTGGAAAACACACACACTAAGGAAACCATAGTGACAGTGATCAAACCATTACATTGCTGATCCCCACTGCGCAAGGTTAGAGGTGTTCTGAAGCCTCACCATCTGCTCCCAAGACCGATAATCAACATAATCCTCTCCCAGAGTAAACATCCTCGTTTGGATTGGCTGAGACTTGCTGAAGCGGTCTCAGCCCAAAGTGATAGACTTTACCACCAAGGTCCAGTTGACAGAATTCATTCCAGAGGGTGAAAAAGAGCAAAAGAGGCATGAAGTGCAATCTAATCTAAAGATTTTGACTGTAACTGTGTGTGATTGGTATGTACCCTTCCAATGTACTTTGTGTTCAATTTCGATATTGACACTTCACATCACGGATCACTAGACATCTCCCACTCTTATGAGATTTTCTGTCTGAAAGCAATGCAAGTTATAGAATATGTTCACATTGAATGCATAGATTGCAGGTCGGTAATATGCCTTACATGTTGCATACGTATGAAATGCATGGTTTATGACCTACAAACCAGTACGAGTTATATTGGTGAGGCAGAGGCCATGTATATACGAGCAATGAGCAAAGTCCAAGGGGGCTGGGTTGTATGTACCAGGTCCAATAATCCCTGTAGCCAAACTATAGGCCGAGAGGGTTGTGGTTAGTTGTTGAGGAAGCTGTCCAAAGGCCAGTTGCACAATGGAAGTGAATGAAGGTCAAATGTAGATATCGGGTTCACACAAACAAGGATAGTGAGGTATAGTTGCACGGTCAGGAGGGCTTTTATAGTGTGGCCAGGCTGTGCTAGGGGGAAACACAGCGGAGAAGGTCCAAAGTGAAATGTGAAGGCAGAATTATTTTGTCTGTTGTTTTCTGTCTAGCTTTTCTCATCCCTTCTTCTTGGCAGCCTGGTATCAGTGTTCCGGGGAGCGGAGGCAGCAGCAATGGGGCCAGAATTGGAGTGGGTGGAGGCTGGAGCTGGTATCAGCACTCGAGGGGCAGCAGGAAGCTCCGTCTGCAGTCCACAGCCTTGGGGCTAGGTGGCTGGGCTCGCTTCCTGCGGAGTTCCTCGCGACCCAAGGAGCCACTCAGCCGTTGGTACGCAGCCTTGTATTTCTTATCAAACGCAGCTAAAAGACAGAGAAAGTGCTGTAAGCAATAAGCCTGGTTGGTCTGAAACTATAGTGAAGTTCTAGTATTCTATTATTCCAACTGTCTTAAAGAGGCTGCTTACCAACGTGATCTCTACCCATGGCAGCCAGCGTGAGGAAGAGCATCTCTCTGTACAGACTCCTGGACAAACAACACAAAGTACTGTCGATCACAATTGTGCAATCACATAACCAATACAGTGCCTTCAGAAAGTACAGTATTCACACCCCTTGACTTCTTCCACATTTTGTTGTGTTACACCCTGAATTTAAAATGGATTAAATATATTTTTTTCTCACCCATCTACACACAATACTCCATAATGACAAAGAGAAAACATGTTTTTAGAAATGTTTGCCAATTTATTGAAAATGAAATACAGAAATATCTAATTTACATAAGTATTCACACCCCTGAGTCAATACTTTGTAGAAGCACTTTTGGCAGCGATTACAGCTGTGAGTCTTTCTGGGTAAGTCTCGAAGAGCTTTTCACACCTGGATTGTGCAACATTTGCCCATTATTCTTTTCAAAATTCTTCAAGCTCTGTCAAGTTGGTTGTTGATCATTGCTAGACAACCATTTTCAGGTCTTGCCATAGATTTTCAAATAGATTTAAGTCAAAATTGTAACTCGACCACTCAGTAACATTCACTGTCTTCTTGGTAAGCAACTCCAGTGTAGATTTGGACTTCTGTTTTAGGTTATTATCCTGCTGAAAGGTGAATTCCTCTCCCAGTGTCTGGTGAAAAGCAGACAACCAGGTTTTCCTCTAGGATTTTGCCTGTGCTTAGCTCCATTCCGTTTATTTTTTATCCTAAAAAACTCCCCAGTCCTTAATGATTACCAGCATTCCCATAACATGATGCAGCCACCACTATGCTTGAAAATATGGAGAGTGGTACTCAGTAATGTGTCGTATTGGATTTGCCCCAAACATAACACTTTGTATTCAGGACAAAAAGTTAATTGCTTTGCCACATCATATTTTGCAGTATTACTTTAATGCCTTGTTGTTTTCTTTCTCTGCGACAACTTAGGGAGTTAGGAAGGACACCTGTATCTTTGTAGTGACTGGGTTTATTGATACACCATCCAAAGTGTAATTAATAACTTCAAGGATATTCAATGTCATATTTATTTATTTTCTACCAATAGGTGCCCTTCTTTGCAGGGCATTGGAAACCCTCCCTGGTCTTTGTGGTTGAATCTGTGTTTGAAATTCACTGCTCAACTGAGGGACCTTACAGATAATTGTATGTGTGGGGTACAGAGATGAGGTACTAAAAATCATGTTAAACACTATTCATGCAACTTATTATGTGACTTGTTCAGCAGATTTTTACTCCTGAACATATACTGTAAAAAATATAAACGCAACATGCAACAATTTGAATGATTTTACGGAGTTACAGTTCATATAAGGAAACCAGTCAATTGAAATAAATAAATCAGCAGGGGCGCAGCCATGGGTGGGCCTGGGAGGGCATAGGCCCGGGAGGGCATAGGCCCACCCACATGGGAGCCAGGCCCAGTCAATCAGAATGAGTTTTTCCCCTCAAAAAGGGCTTTATTTCAGACAGAAATACTCATCAGAAGTCAGATGTGGAGTTCCTGGGCAGGCGTGGATACACGTGGTGTGCGGTTGTGAGGCCAGTTGGACATACTGCCAAATTCTCTAAAACGACGCTGGAGGCGGCTTATGGTAGAGAAATGAACATTCAATTCTCTGGCAACAGTGGACATTCCTGCAGTCAGCGTACCAATTCCACGCTCCCTCAAAACTTGAGACATCTGTGGCATTGTGTTGTGTGACAACGGCACATTTTAGAGTGGCCTTTTATTGTCCCCAGCACAAGTGGCACCTGTGTGTTGATTATGCTGTTTAATCAGCTTATTGATATGCCACACCTGTCAGGTGGATATATTATCTTGTCAAAGGAGAAATGCTCACTAACAGGGAGGTAAACAAATTTGTGCCCAAAATTTGAGAGAAATAAGGTTTTTGTGCGTATGGAACATTTCTGGGATGTTTTATTTCAGCTCATGAAACATGGGAACTAACACTTTACATGTTGAGGTTATATTTTCGTTCAGTATATTTAGGCTTGCCATAACAAAGGGGTTGAATACTTATTGACTGAAGACGTTTCAGCTATTCAATTTTAATTAATTTCTAGAATTTTCAAAAACATAATTTAACTTTGACATTATGGGGTATTGTGTGTAGGCCAGTGACATTTTTTAAAAATCTAAATGTAATCAATTTTAACAACAAAATGTGGAAAAAGTCAAGGGGTGTGAATACTTTCTGAAGGCACTGTATTACTCACACAAACAAAAAATGTAATCAACAATTGATGATTCAGAGGCCATTTCCTGCACTCACCTTTGTATCTTGGGCGTGCCTGGTTGCTTGGCGATGGTTTCCAGGAAGAGGGTGATTCCCTTGTGTACCTCGTTCATGCCGACCCAGCGCAGCACTTCCTCCAGGAAGACAAGGGTGAAGGGGTGGTTGTGCCTCCGCCAGCTGTGGTTCCGCATGGGTACGCCACCTGAGAGAGCGAGCGAGAGAGAGAGAGAGATATGTAATTCATGAAAGGATCTGAACCTGTATCATCTGACCATTTCCATGTGAATAATGTGTGTATCTTACTGTGTATCCTCCATAGGATGTAGAGTGGGGGGCCAGTGGTCTGTGTCAGGGGTCAGTGTGTCCCACAACAGCCTCACCCTCACTGCTGAGTTCTCTGAAGTCTGACATACACACAGACAGGAGCTCAACATTAGTATGAGGACATTATGTATTGTGATATACTAAAGCTAATAATTAATCACTAGGCCCCAAGAGAAGCCTGGGAGCGGAGTTACCTGTGCTAGTTGGTTGGCCAGCGGTGAGGAGCTGACCAGCTGCAGCAGGTTGCTGGGCAGGCCCAGGCGATGGAAGTACCAGACCAGGTTCCAGAAGATGATGGAGTGGCTGTCCAGGAGCTGGCCCTGTGCCAGCACCGCCTCGCCCTCGTTCTCCAGCAGGCTCTCCAGCTCCTTGCGAAGCACCAACGGGCTCAGGTAGGCTACCGTCACCTGGGGTGACCCGCCCACCGACAAACCCTGGAGTCAATAACACGTTAACTGTGGTTATAGACTGAATATTTCCCAGAAGCCGACAGATAAAGATGAAAAATAAACTAGTGTTGGTAGAGTACCGTGGTAGCGCTGCTGCTCTCAGAATAGCTGCTGGACTCAGAGCTGGAGTCCTCACTCACACCGTTGTGACCCAGGATGGCCTCCTGGCCACCAGGGGGCTTGGCGGCACTCTCCACCTCCTCCGTGTTCCAGTTGGTACGCTCCAGGCTGTGGTGAGCGCTTTTTGATGTTAGTCAAAAGGAAGGGATTGGGTGACAAAAATGTCTAACGTTCATTCAGTTTAAGAATCATACAGTCCTCACCATACATCATACAGTCCTCAACATACATCATACAGTCCTCAACATACATCATACAGTCCTCACCATACATCATACAGTCCTCACCATATGTATTTAGACAGTAAAACCGTAGCTTCACTTTCCAAATACATATGGTAAGGACTGTATATGGCCCTGAATAGACAGATTTAATATGAATAGAGTCAAAATGAAGGGATTGTTTTGACTTCTATGGGCCCTGGTCAAAAGTAGTGCACTATATAGGGAATAGGGTGCCATTTGGGACGCACTTAAATTTGAGGGTGATGTTATGATGAGAGGAGTAGTCCTACCTGCTGACGGGTCCTAGGTCACAGATCTCAGCGTTGAGAAGGGGAACAAAGGTGGTCGAGCAGAAGGGACAGCTGGAGTTGAGGTTGGAGTCGTCAGACGTCCACCCGGCCATAATCTCCTCGTCATAGACCAGGGAGTTACAGCTCCGACACAGGGAGCAGCTCGACATCAACACCTCTAGTCCCGCTCCCTCTTGGTTGGTGTCCCAGGACTTGCGGAGAGGAAAGGCCAAATTGGTGGTGTCAGGCAGGTCAATGTCACTCCCCACCGACAGAGAACTCTACAGAGGGAAACGATGTGGGAACATTAAGCATGTTTTGACAGGTTTAATATTTCTCCCTACATCTGCAAATGCATTCACCCCAGTAAACTAAATCAGTTGGCCAATACAGTATAGTTAGACTATAAGCTACAACAACCCACATGTTGTCCCCTCACCTCAGAGGTAGCATTGTAGAGCCTCTCCTTAGCCTTCAGGAGGCTCTCAGCCACCTGGGCTTTTCGGGACTGTCTCTGTTCCGACACCCTGCGCACCGTCCCGTTTTCTCCCCCCGTGCGCCGGGCGTCTACACTGGCGGCCCGCCGCCCCGAGACTCTATGGCGAGTAGGCGTGAGCAGCTGCTGTAGTTTCCCCGCCAGGCTGCCTTGACTCGGCGGTGACACATTGTTGTAGTTCTCGTCCACGGCCTTGCGGCTCACAGTGTCTCTAGGCCCAGGTGGCCTACATTGAGAACAGAGGAATGGGAGACATACTCTTATAGTATATCAGAGTGATATTTCAACTGTAATCCCAAAACATATCAGAACATATCAGCCCAAGCTTCTCCACCCCCTCACCTGCCGTCTCTCTCCCCAGGCTGGCAGCTGAAGTCGGGCTCAGAGTCGGCCGTCTCGGCACAGTCTTTGTAAAAGGTGGACAGGCACACCTGGTCGCGGCGCACCAGGACACCACCAGGGGGAAAGGGAGAAGGGGTGGAGGTGTCTCGTGTCCCCACGGGGGGCTTACGGGAGGCGGGGTCGCTGCAGCCATTGGCACCTGCGTTCCGGAACACCGCATTCCTTGAGAGCTTAGACTCTGTGGGGTGGAAATTGTTAGGAGGGTGGTTCCCAAACATTAGGCACAGTTGTTTGATGAGAGTGTTATGTTATATTAAACATTATATAACATTCCAATGACAGTGCTATTACCATATAATAGATATCTGTCACTCACTGTCTTTTGAGCCTCTCATGCTGTTTAGGCTGTTGCTCTTCACCATAGACCCCGTCAGCGATTCGTGGCTGGAGCTTTCACTCAGGCCACTCCAGCTGGATTGACGAATCAGGTTATATTGTGGGCGGGACCGTTGGTTACTGTCCATTGTAACATCTTTTTAAAAAGACAAAACATGTTTCACCTCTATGTTTTTACATATATAATGATTTTGTTTAAAACCATGCATATGAGGCTCAATTACCATTTATTGTTACAAACAATAGTAAAAAACAACAACATGTAAATATGTCCTGTCCTGACCTGTCCGCGAGCTTACTGAACCACTCTTCTGCCGTTGTCTGATTGGCTGTCTGAACTGCGCCACGGCCATCAGAACGTTACGCAACTTGGCCCAGCGCAGACGGCCGCCCTGATTGGTAGAGGGCCACTTGCTCTCCAGCACTGCCTGAGGAGAGACGGCAGAGCCAGAGGTGAGTCAATATGGAAAGAAAAAATACAACACTACAGATGGGATCACAGACGTGGTTCAACTCATTTTTTAATTCATGTAAATAATGGCTCACCTTGTTGTAGTATGCATAGGTGATGGTGTTGGGTGTGATCCCAGCTTTCTTCATCTCCAGAAGTACCCTAACAGCGAGCACAGGCTGCCCGTACTGCCCACACAGCTGCATCAGGATCCTGTAACACACCTCATCCGGTAGTACCACCTTCCTGGTCTCCATGTGCTTGAGCACCTCGTAGGCCGTTTGCAAGGCACGCACCTTGGCACTCTCCGCCCGCACAAATGTGGGCAGGTAGATGAACCACAGCCCATAGCAGTGGCCCAGCAGGCATTTGGACCACATGTCGGGCACTGCCGAGTATATCTGTGCCCGCTTCTGTGCCAGCTTAATCTCCTAAAGGAGAGACAGGGACACAGAGGAGTTAGATAATCCAATCTAGATTTACTAAAGCCGTAATAATGTGGTTCCTATGTGTCCTAGTAGGGCAAACTTAACAACCCTGAAGGGTGCTTGGGGTATTCACCCAAAATACACAGCCGCCACTGTGCTTCCTGCTTTTAAATATTGAATGAAGGATGAAACATTTATGCTCATTAAATTAAAATGGCACAGAAAAACAGTGAAGCATGTTCCCTCTTTGGCTGTGGAAAATTGGGTTATCATAAAGCTAACTTGGGAGTCGTGAACAGATCAAGTTGATTGGTGCTAATACATTTGATTTTGATTTGCAGGCAGGGTAATGCTCTTAATAAATAATAAAGATTGAAATTAAAACTGTGTGAGTCAGCCTCTTAATATTATTGTATAGTTCTTAGTAGTTTTGGTGCAGTGGATCTACTGGGGTTGTGTTGGCTTTCAGTGGGGTTGTAGTGTGTTTTAAGGGGCTCTGGTGTGGCGGGTTTGGGTCTGTACCTGTTTAGTGCGTCGCGGGGCAGGGCTGCTGGGGGCACTCCCCTTGGTAGGGACACGTAGCTGGTCCTGAGGCCGGTCAAAAAGATCCATGCAGAGCACAGGGAACGTCTCATAGCTGTAAACAGACAAACACGCCGTCACTGGTCACAGCATCAGACAGTATAAACAAACACAAAGTAGTTACTGTAAGTGCTGGGGCTTTATTCGCAAAGTGTCTCCGAGTGGAGGTGCTCATCTAGAATCAGGTCAACCCTCTTATTATTTATGATTTAAAAGGCTAAACTGATCCTAGATCAGGTCTACTCTGAGAAGTTTTGTGAACACGAACCCTGGTATATGTAGTGCCTGTGTTACCTGTAGTGAGTGGGGCACTCTGAACCGTCTGGCTCCTGGGGTTCCTCTGGGGGCATGATGAAGACTGTGTGCTCCCCACTGTGGGCCTCGTCCAGGTCTATCAGACGCACCTCCTCAGGCTTCTCCACATCCGACTGCTTACACACACCACATATATATACAGATACATGCCGCAAACACAGGTCACATACACAGGAATACACAAACATTGACAACATAGAGGGCAGGAGTGGGATCACACATTTCCATTAGTTGTGTAAATACAAAATACAAATCCGGTTTTAGCATTGGAATCAATACACTAAGGCTTCCATAAGATATGGTGTATCACTAAACATGTAAAACATGAAGATGTGATTCTGACCTTCTGGACACACTCGTCGAAGAACTCGAGACAGGCGTGGCGGTCACTGACGAAGGAGCACTCCTCGATGAACTGAGTGAACATCTGGGTCCTGGTCAGCTGAATGTAGAACTTCTGGTGGGTGCGTTCACGAGACTTCAGGAAGCCTGCAAGAGCCAGGGAGGGGTTAACTTCAGACACACATTAAAATACTAGCTTCACAAGGGTGTTGGTTGTGGACATAGTAAGTAGGTGAGGTAAAATACCCACCCACACACACACGTACTGAATGTTATATCATATTTGTGTACACTGACCCTGCAGGTTGAAGAGGGAGCTGCAGTCGGTGGTCCTGTCTGAGGGGGCCTGGGTGATGGGCAGCAGGTAGGTGCGGTAGCCCCTCAGCAGGCAGCTCATGAAGCGCAGGAAGGCCTCCTGGATCTCCAGCTCCAGCTGCTTCTGACGCCCGTAGATCAGGTCATAGTCCGTCAGCAGGAACTCCAGGGTGGCCTCCTCTTGGCCTGGGGTGTAGACTGATGGATGGGGAAGTGTGGGGGAGGGAGAGAGAGATAGAAAGTGAGGGAAATTGGGGTAGTGGTGGAGAGAGGGACAGAGAGAAATAGCTGAAGACACAAAGCATTGGCACATTGAATTATCAGAGTCAGATGTATTGCACCAATATGTTTTAGCTTGTACTTATTTTCCAGCATCAGTCCCTAGATAAGCTTTAGAATAAGTAGGCTATCACTCACTTTTCTCCAGGGTCTTCATCAAGTTGGTGAGGGTATTCACCAGCATCTTGCCATGCTTCCTTGGTAGCGATCGCCATGACAACGGCTTCTTGTCCTCTGCTCTGCAGGAGAAGAGAACACAAAACTATGGATTTCATCCTTTGTATGTTTGGTTTTTGTTGCTTCCTCTTCCATCAGTTGCATCAGGTCCAGTTCCTTCAAGGTCAGTGTACTCACTGAAAGATGGTGTTGGTGTCCAGGTCAACACACACCACGTCAGTAGGGGGGTCATAGAGGTCAAAGTAGCTGGAGTGGACGCCCACGATGAAGGGCATGGGGGCACACAGTACGTCTGCCAGCCGCAGCGGGCACAGGGGGATGTACGGGCAGTGCCAACGCAGAGGGAACGTCATCTGGAGGGATAGAGTGCATTCTTTGATTAGGATGAGTGTGTGTACGTACAGTGGGGGAAAAAAGTATTTAGTCAGCCACCAATTGTGCAAGTTCTCCCACTTAAAAAGATGAGAGAGGCCTGTAATTTTCATCATAGGTACACGTCAACTATGACAGACAAAATGAGGAAAAAAAATCCAGAAAATCACATTGTAGGATTTTTAATGAATTTATTTGCAAATTATGGTGGAAAATAAGTATTTGGTCAATAACAAAAGTTTCTCAATACTTTGTTATATACCCTTTGTTAGGAACGTTTTCTGTAAGTCTTCACAAGGTTTTCACACACTGTTGCTGGTATTTTGGCCCATTCCTCCATGCAGATCTCCTCTAGAGCAGTGATGTTTTGGGGCTGTCGCTGGGCAACACAGACTTTCAACTCCCTCCAAAGATTTTCTATGGGGTTGAGATCTGGAGACTGGCTAGGCCACTCCAGGACCTTGAAATGCTTCTTACGAAGCCACTCCTTCGTTGCCCGGGCGGTGTGTTTGGGATCATTGTCATGCTGAAAGACCCAGCCACGTTTCATCTTCAATGCCCTTGCTGATGGAAGGAGGTTTTCACTCAAAATCTCACGATACATGGCCCCATTCATTCTTTCCTTTACACGGATCAGTCGTCCTGGTCCCTTTGCAGAAAAACAGCCCCAAAGCATGATGTTTCCACCCCCATGCTTCACAGTAGGTATGGTGTTCTTTGAATGGAACTCAGCATTCTTTGTCCTCAAAACACGACGAGTTGATTTTTTACCAAAAAGTTCTATTTTGGTTTCATCTGACCATATGACATTCTCCCAATCCTCTTCTGGATCATCCAAATCCACTTTAGCAAACTTCAGATGGGCCTGGACATGTACTGGCTTAAGCAGGGGGACACGTCTGGCACTGCAGGATTTGAGTCCCTGGCGGCGTAGTGTGTTACTGATGGTAGGCTTTGTTACTTTTGTCCCAGCTCTCTGCAGGTGATCATTTCGACCCCACGGGGTGAGATCTTGCGTGGAGCCCCAGATCGAGGGAGATTATCAGTGGTCTTGTATGTCTTCCATTTCCTAATAATTGCTCCCACAGTTGATTTCTTCAAACCAAGCTGCTTACCTATTGCAGATTCAGTCTTCCCAGCCTGGTGCAGGTCTACAATTTTGTTTCTGGTGTCCATTGACAGCTCTTTGGTCTTGGCCATAGTAGAGTTTGGAGCATGACTGTTTGAGGTTGTGGACAGGTATCTTTTATACTGATAACAAGTTCAAACAGGTGCCATTAATACAGGTAACGAGTGGAGGACAGAGGAGCCCCTTAAAGAAGAAGTTACAGGTCTGTGAGAGCCAGAAATCTTGCTTGTTTGTAGGTGACCAAATACTTATTTTCCACCATAATTTGCAAATAAATTCATTAAAAATCCTACAATGTGATTTTCTGGATTTTCTTTCTTCAATTTGTCTGTCATAGTTGAAAATTACAGGCCTCTCATCTTTTTAAGTGGGAGTACTTGCACAATTGGTGGCTGACTAAATACTTTTTACCCCCACTGTATATGTCTTTGTGTGTGGTGGTGTTGTGTGTGTGTGTGTGTAGGTTTTGCATGTGTGTGTGTGTGTGTGACTCACAGACACCAGGGCCTCGCTGACGGAGGTGAGGACATCGGGGCGGAGGGAGTGGAGCAATAGTTTGTGCTCCGTCAGCACGGCCAGCAGCAGGACACAGGCATTCTCAGGGCCCAGGTTCTGCAACAGCTTCACAAAGCTGGCACCACTACAGACAGAAAAGAACAGTCTCTTTATCAATTCATTATTGTATTAATGGATTCACTTCAATATGATAATAGAAATCCCTCAGGGGAAATTAAGGCATTGTTGGAGCGCTAGCGCCTAGCGCACAATAACGCATTACACCACACAGTTTATTGTGACTCAATCTAATGCAGATTTACTGTACTGACCTGAGTGGTAAGGGGGAGGAGACGGGCTGACACAGTAGAAGGTTGTCATAGGGGGAGAGCTGAAATGACACACACACAGTTTTCATTAACAAACCAACATGGTGGACAATAATCTATAGGTCTAAGGAAGAAAGTTTAGCCATGCTTCAATTTCATAGACCACCATTCACCAAATTGATATCTGTTGATTTGAAACAAGCCATTAGGAATCAAGTTTGAAAAGCCCCATTTGACTCGATTTGAGTTTTCTAGAAATCCCCAAACTACTTAAACAATCGTCTCTACTTTCTAGAGCCGGAAGGATCATTCAGTGTTTTGTGAAATAATTTTATATCCACAGTATATTATAGATTGTTTTGATTGGGTGTTATTTTTACCCAGTCCATCTTCACACACTAACCAGTGAAACCATCAATTCATTCAACGGCCATTTCCTGTGGGGGAGGAAGTCAAATCTTTAGTGTAAAACACCACAATGCTACTGGTGTCAAGTTCAAATAGAACTCAAGCGGAGGTTCCACTTGTAACTCACAAACAGGCACATACAAGCACACACACAGAGCAAGCAGGTATTGTTCTAAACTAGCACTAAAACACCTGACTCAACTAATAATCACAGTCATGCCTTACTTGAATTAGGTGTTTTAATACTGCCTTCTGTATTGCCCTGAGCTAAATCAGTGCTTAGCAAGGTTTTCCATTCCACTCTTCTGATGCTTTAAAGTGCTTTGATGTGTTAAAAAGGAATAAAGATCAGAGAGAATGTGAATTGAGTTAAAGACAAGTATCCATACCTGCACTAGGATGCGAGGCCGCTGAGGGGAGGGGAACGGGACGTTGTGCATGAAGCTGGAGATGTGCCTGGAGAGAGCAGAGTTCATGCTAATAAATCAACCAAACAACCAACCATAACATGAATCAATAGCTTATAGGCCTACGGTATGTTAGCCAGTAGATTAGCAAGTTTAGGTTTATAAAGACACATAGGTGATATTTGCCATTGAGGGCCACTGACTTCTCGAGGGGCAGCACGTGGGGTCCGGAGATGGAGTATCGGTAGACGAAGGTGAGGAACTTCTGGAAAACGGTGAAGAAGGGCCAGTGGGAGAGAACACACACGCTCTTCTTCACCTGCAGGGTGCGGTTGGTGATGGGACGCCGGTCCACCACGCTCACCAGGCCCAGACGCACGCTCTGCCGCTCCGAGAGGCACTCCCGTGGGAACGCCTCGTAGAACTGGATGGCGGCACCATAAACCTGGGGCGGGAAGAGGAGACACAGTTAAAAAGTTAGGATTCAGCTAACGCTAGATGCTTTGAACTGTGTAAACAGTTAGCAAATGCTAGATACTGTGAGAAATAGTGGCGTTAAATAAAACATTTTAAAACTGTGAGCGAGTTCATGCTGGAGTCATTCGCATCTCAATGTTTTTGTTGTTATTTTTATAGGTTCTTGCTGCTGTCGCAGACAAAGTCTATATAGTGGGCCAATTTAAAACTTGTAATTGAGGTAGGCAAGCATGATATTGAATAGCTGCATTGGTAAATAACTACACACAACCCAAGCAACAAATAGTTGGTATTTATCTATTTGTCACTGTTCATATATCACACTTGATATACATTTCATTGTGAGTGTGTATTTCTGAAACTTGTCAGCTACCTTAGGCCATGGCATTTTGTGGAATTAAAAATATTCCAGCCCATTTGGTTCTAGAATTAGATTTTGTGGTAGCAACGATAGAATTAGCAACATACTCCTTACTGGTGGCCTCACTGGCTTGTCATTGTGATGTCATCACTCATGATCATAATCAGATGAGTTCTGAGTTACCATAGTGATGATTACTATATCATCATCAAACAAAATCAATGGAACATCATATTCCAAAATTGTCAGTCTGTGAAATATTCCTTTGAAGAGACAACCTTGCTATTTCTGCAGATATTTTCGAGCTGATTTTTCACATTCCTTGGACCCTATGTTCAACAAAGCAATGAATCGAGGACTAAGTGTGTCCATGTCCCGAAGAAGGGCAGTTTATGACGAAGAGAAAATTGTCAGCCGTGGGAGAGGCCGATCCAGGACTAGATGCCACTGCCCTACTTCGGTAAACCAGCCAATACATAAGATTGTACTTATTAGTAACACAGATGTTCTGTGATAAGCTTTTCAGTTCTGTTTCAAATGAAGGCAAATGTGAGAGTGGTCTTGGCTGAGAGTTGTTGAATTTTGTCTCAACAGATCCATACAAAGGAGAGAGAAGGCACTGACTCTGTGACCCAAACAGTGGAACACCCTCAGAAGGCAGAGGAGGACGTTATGAATCGTGGACGGAGTGAGTCTGTCCCTCGAAGAAGAATTCTATGAAAATGTTGTTTTAACGCGATAGCCTAATCTCAGATTTCTTAATCTGATGCCATATGCTAACTATTATTGAGCCATGTCATGTTCTTGGTGATAAAACATTTTCTTTTTTCAGGAGGATGAGAAAACTGTCTGCGGTGAGAGAGGCAGATCCAGAACCAGACGGCACTGCCCAATTTTGGTAAACCAGCCCTTACATTCTTTGGTTAATACAGTATGGATGAACACTGACATTTTCAGAAAAGTTATTATTAATTTTTTTTACACCAGGTTCCGCCTCAACTTTCAATGTAGGCTAACAGTTGTTTCATTGTCTTAACAGATCCATACAAAAGAGAGAGACGGCACTGACTCTGTGTCCCTAACAGTGGACTACTCTCAGAACGCAGAGAGGGACGTAATGACTCGCGGACGGAGTGTGTCTATCCCTCAAAGAATGCAATAACTTGAGTAACAAAAACGTACAAAAAAGCTTTAAAAACACACTACACTAATCTCAAATTCTTCATCTCATGCCATATGCCAATATTCTGACCATGTCATGTCTTGTTTGATAAAACTTTCTTTTTCAGGACGACGAGAAAACTGTCTGCCGTGAGAGAGGCAGATCCAGGACCAGACGTCACTGTCCAACTTCGGTAAACCAGCCCATTTATCACTGGTTAATACAGTATGAATGAACACTGACATTTTCTGATACGTTTTTCAGATACGTTTCAAGTGAACGCAAATGTGAGAGTGGTCTTGGCTAAACTGTCCATATAGGCTAAGTGTTGTTCCATTTGTCCTAACAGATCCGTACACAGGAGAGAGACGGCACTGACTCTGTGACCCAAACAGTGGAACACCCACAGAAGGCAGAGGGGAATGTAATGAATCGCGGACGCAGTGTGTCTTTCTTGATCAATGTAATGGTCTTGTTTGCATGATTATTTGGAAACCTTTTCTTTTTTCAGGATGACAAGAAAATTGTCAGCCATGAGAGAGGCCGTTCCAGGACCAGACACCACTGCCCAACTTCGGTAAACACTGGCATTTTCTGATTCGCCTTTCTGCTCTGTTTCAAGTGAAGGCAAATGTGAAAGTGGTCTCGGCTAAACTTTCCATATAGGCTTATAGTCGTTTCATTTTGTCTTAACAGATCCATACAAAGGAGAGAGATGGCACTGACTCCCAAACAGTGGAACATGCACTGACTCCCACTGACTTCCAAACAGTGGAGCGCTCTCAGAAGGCAGGGGGAGATCACATGAGGGAAGAACAGGACCTAACCCTTTTTTAACAGAAATGTAACAGAATATTAAAGAGAGAGAGGGAGTGGTTGGAGGACAAGCGGAGAGAGATCAGAAAGAGGAAGATCCTATGGAGACAGAGAAAACTGGTAGTAGAGGGAAGATACCTAGCCAAGATGGAGGGATTGCTAGAGGACATGGCATGGCGAGTCCAGGCATTGGATTTGTTCACAAAGAAAGATGGAGAAACAAAGAGTGGTCAATCAAAGGTGAGCTTTAGTGACTATTTCGGCACTATAATGTTGTTTCTACTATCCTTCTGTTGAGGAAACTATAATCTCTTCAACGTAGCCATTTTAGAACTAATACAGTAGTAGCAGTAACACAACTAAACATGGATCAGTAGGTATACTAGTATACTGTTGTTATTGCAGTTAAACAATACTTGTTATCTTTCTTAGAAGAAGAATGGCCAGGTCACCCAGGTGACAGGACAGTACAAGGCAGGGGATAAATCACAGCTTGAGAGCAAGGCTGAGAGGACAGAGCAGAAAAGGAAGGAGAGGGAACAGAGAAAGGAAAGGAAAGGAGAGGAGGGTGGTGATGGAGATGATAATGGTGCAGGGAAAGAATACAGGGGTGGTTTGGCTTGAAATAGGTCTGAGGAGGGCCTGGAAACGGTTGAAGAAAGGGGTCACATCCTACTAGGATGATATGATTTACTTTTTGGAATAAACTGAGCTTTTATTAGAACATTTTTTGCTTGTTGTCTGGATTTAATACGAATTAGGAAACTTTACTATTACCATTATGATTATAACTGTTACTGCAGGCATCATGGATGGAGTGAAGTATTTCAATGTCTGACAAATAACGACATCTTAAGTTATTGTCATTTGTTGAAATGAACTGTAAACCGGTGACTTGCAATGCGCTAAAATTGATTATACATTCACCTGATATTATATCCAGAGAACCTTCCTACACAGCTTAATACATAACCTACTGGATTCAATAGATCAGCCACTGTGCAGTGTTAAGAGTGTTGGAGAGGGTGTGTGAGAGGGAGGCAGACAGGCGGACCCACCTTGTCACCACAGGCGCTGGTGAGGACGAAGGTAGAGAAGACAGGGAGCTGGTACTTGGTGTTGAGGGGCCAGCTCTCCACCGTCACACCCATGGGCAGACAGAACATAGGCACAGACTCTGGCAGGGGGAACGACTCCACGTCCGCTTCGGGATACCGACTGATCAGACCTAGGAAACACACACACAGAGACAGACAGTTAATAAAAGTACCATTTTGATTAGTGACTACAGAGATACTTTCATTTTGGTAGATCTTTCTACTTCTAAATGTCTTTAATTGTGAGAAGTAGGTCAATAGGCCTTCTCTGTTTACACTGTGACATATGGAGACCCAGCAGAATGAGAGCTGTGATACCATCGGTATGGAGCAGTCGACACTCACCTGCTTCATAGACTAGGGCGTTGGCTTTGGCTACAGCTCTCTTATAGCACACGTATAATGCTGGACCCCACTGTGGAGCAAACACAACAAAGCACAGTGAGAGAGAGGGAATGAGGGAGAGCAAGAGAGATTAAGAATTAGAACAGAAAATACAGAGTAGAAAAACAGTAGCGCTTCAAACCCACTATGCCAGTGTTGAGGTTCTTCTCCACCCGGCAGAAGGTGTGGGGGGCCACCTCTCCCTTGCTGGGCAGCAGGAGGGAGATGTCTGTGACCCCCAGGGTGTGGAGGGCCTGGGACTCTGGGGCCCGGCGGTATGTCAGGAAGGTGCGGTGGGTGGTGGGGCCCCCGGAGCTCAGACTGGCTGAGCGGCTGTAGGGGGTGGTCTCGATCACGTACCAGCCCTGCTTCACCACCTCTTTGCCCTCGTACAGCACACTGGAGACCGGGGGGAGGGGGCAAAGTCAGGACAATGAGTCAGTCAATGTCACTAGTTATCCAGTTAACATAAACCCATTTCTATCACTCATTCAAGGAAAGCTTTTCTTTTCATGTTTAGAAGACATCCCACACTTTGTCCAGAATGAATGTATCATGTGACGTACATGGCTCTTTCCATTAAATAATCGATGGGTATGTATACAATTACATTTTGCAGCCACGTATGGCTTGGCCAGACATGCTTAATTTAATGATTATGGTGGTTTAGGGCTACATAGCAATAGCATACAATGAAACCTTTCTGTGGTCAGACGTGCATGGTTACAGCATGCGGTATGTCTATAATTGCATAATGCAAGCTCAAAGCATTGTTATGCATTAGCTACAGTATGTGAACTCCAAGCACCATTCATAGCTTTACATTGATGTTGTGGTTAATGTCTGACTAGAATGGTCATTGTTTTCATCACTGCTGGAGTGTCTCACCCGAGGTCGAGGATGGGTGGCTTGTCATGCCCACGGCGGTAACACAGGTACATGTGGGGGTTGTTGATGAGTCCGGCGCTCAGTTCGGCCGAGTGGCCCCCCTGGGTCTTCTCGATGCAGGTGAAGCCCTCGGGCACCTCCTCCCCCAAGCCCCGGGCGATCACCGCCAGGTCTGTGACCGGCTCCACCGCCCGGCCCCCTCTCTGCTGGCCCTCTTCGTCCAGTGGGGCCGAGCCCCCCGGAGCCAGCCCTGCCACCACAAAGTAGTCCACTAATTGGGGGCATTTCTCCTCCGTCATGCCGCCTGTCTGCCAACTGCTGTGGAGAGGGACGGAGAGAGGGGGAGAAAAAGAGAGTGAGAAGTAGAGAGAGGGGGAACCAAGGTGAGATTGTGCGATCTCTCTTATGTAAACATACAACTGGCTGATCAGTTGATGATGTATAATGGATTTCTTCCTTCTGACAGTCCCTTGACAGTCTCACAGAAACAAAACCTTATCCAGACAGACAATATTTGGTTCTCATCATTGGCAATAGATAAACAACCAGGAGAGTGATAACAATATCATTGCATGTGGATGCACGCACAGTCCCATATACAAATATTTATTTTACCTCAGAGGCCGTTAGTCATTCGCATTTCATACAGATCTGACCGGTCCGGGAGATAGTGTGAGGGTCAATAATAGGCTGCTGAGTTCTGCTGAGGGGGGAGATCTGACCTCATCCTCTCCTGCTCATTAGTTTAGTTATTACAGTATCCATGGCAACGAAAAGCTGAATTTCATATGCATCAGGAAATACAACAAGAAAACAAAACAAATCAATAAATGTGATACAGTTGGCAAATCAAGAAAGTTCAGAAATCATAGATGGGATCATCAGAGTGTTGCACTTTGGATGGTCAGCGGAGGTCCGTAGCCTCAGCAGCACAGAGCACACCTCTCCGTTCCCAACTTCCTCTCTGTGCGTTGGGCTTCGTAGATAAGCCTAACCCTACCCTAACCCTACGTAGATGCCACTCCTGCCACTGGCACACAGGCTCACCATACATTTGGTGACAGTCAGAGTAGTGGACAATCGTCACTACTGCAAGCCATCTCTGCTAATGCAGTCCTCTTTGCTTCTGCAGTGTTGCGGCATTCAAAGCTAGCTATTCAAAGCTAGCTAGCCAACATCGCTAGTTAGGTAAACCAAACAAACTGCCAACAGTTACATCATATCTAATTAAAAACGGATCAAAAAACAAAAAGCGATTCAGGGAATTATTAGAAACAAATAATGTGGATGAAAATTAAATCCCCCCAAAAATCTAATCATAAGAGGCCATTCACATTAATGGAATTTTCTCCTCTGGGTTCCCTCTCCAATCAATTCAGAGGGAGCATTACTGTCTAGAGCAGCATTTATACAGGATGGATAGGCCATCCTCACAGAGCGGATGAGTCGTTAAGTCACAACTGCTAGGAAGACAGGACAGTGTGTGTTGCGTTTTTATTTCCACTGTGCTTAGTTACAAAATCAAAGTGTGATTAAACTCAAGTGCACTGACAGCGGAGGGGAGGGTTGGAGGGCATAAAAATAGGATGCTGTTGTGTCATAGTCAGTGAAAACTGTACCAGTAAAACCCTCTTATGTAACTTAGGCTCTCCCCCTCTCTCTTTCTCTCTCTGCAGCCAGCACACTTTAGAGGATCCAAAAAGTTTTTTTCTCGTTCCTTCTAGTCGTAATAGGCTTGGGAATGACTGGGAGTTTTCTTTGCTCTGTCTATCGGTTGCTCTCAGATAAAGCACTGATAGGACTGCTTTTCAGGCATTTCCAGAACGAGCGTGCAGAGTGATAATAAGATTGAACAGAAATTAGGCTAATTAAAGTTGTAGCCTACTTCCGAGCATGCCCGAGACTAGTAGCCTACAACCGAGCATGTCTGAGACTAGTAGCCTACTATGTCTGAGGCTAGTAGCCTACTATGCCTGAGACTAGTAGCCTACTATGCCTGAGACTAGTAGCCTACTATGCCTGAGACTAGTAGCCTACTATGCCTGAGGCTAGTAGCCTACTATGCCTGAGACTGGTAGCCTACTATGCCTGAGGCTAGTAGCCTACTATGCCTGAGACTGGTAGCCTACTATGCCTGAGACTGGTAGCCTACTATGCCTGAGGCTGGTAGCCTACTATGCCTGAGGCTAGTAGCCTACTATGCCTGAGGCTAGTAGCCTACTATGCCTGAGGCTAGTAGCCTACTATGCCTGAGGCTAGTAGCCTACTATGCCTGAGACTAGTAGCCTACTATGTCTGAGGCTAGTAGCCTACTATGTCTGAGGCTATGCCTGAGACTGGTAGCCTACTATGCCTGAGACTGGTAGCCTACTATGCCTGAGGCTAGTAGCCTACTATGCCTGAGACTGGTAGCCTACTATGCCTGAGACTGGTAGCCTACTATGCCTGAGGCTGGTAGCCTACTATGCCTGAGGCTGGTAGCCTACTATGCCTGAGACTGGTAGCCTACTATGCCTGAGGCTAGTAGCCTACTATGCCTGAGGCTAGTAGCCTACTATGCCTGAGGCTAGTAGCCTACTATGCCTGAGACCTGTAGCCTACTATGACTGAGGCTAGTAGCCTACTATGTCTGAGGCTAGTAGCCTACTATGACTGAGACTAGTACCCTGACGGGTAGGAGCGTTGGGCCAGTAACCGAAAGGTTGCTGGATCGAATCCCCGAGCTGACAAGGTAAAAATCTGTCGTTCTGCCCCTGAGCAAGGCAGTTAACCCACTGTTCCCCGGGCGCCGATGACGTGGGTGTCAATTAAGGCAGCCCCCCGCACCTCTCTGATTCAGAGGGGTTGGGTTAAATGCGGAAGACACATTTCAGTTGAACGCATTCAGTTGTACAACTGACTAGGTATCCCCCTTTCCCTACTGTATTTAGCACATCTAACTTGTAAGAGTACTATACATGCCTAGAAAGTGAGAGAAATACTAAAAGGCCCTTGAAAAAGTGAGAGTAGAGGAAATCCATGCAGGTTGGGCTCCAAAGGTTAACTGGCAAACAGGAAGTGGCCACTGGCAGCCTGTTTCCTGTTATATTCCAAGAGCTCATCAGTAGCTTCCTAGTGACACTGGAGCACGATGACACTTCTCCAGGGGGGAAATTATGACAGGACACAGAAGGTGATAATATACAGTGAGCTCCAAAATAAAAAATGTTTGTTGTTGTTTTGGCTCTTTGGATTTGAAATGATACAATGACTATGAGGTTAAAGTGCCGACTGTCAGCTTTAATTTGATGGTATTTTCATTCATATCGGGTGAACCGTTTAGAACTTTTTGTACATAGCGCCCCCATTTTAGGGGACCAAAAGTATTGGGACAAATTTACTTACAGTGGGGAAAAAAAGTATTTAGTCAGCCACCAATTGTGCAAGTTCTCCCACTTAAAAAGATGAGAGAGGCCTGTAATTTTCATCATAGGTACACGTCAACTATGACAGACAAATTGAGATTTTATTTCCCAGAAAATCACATTCTAGGATTTTTAATGAATTTATTTGCAAATTATGGTGGAAAATAAGTATTTGGTCACCTACAAACAAGCAAGATTTCTGGCTCTCACAGACCTGTAACTTCTTCTTTAAGAGGCTCCTCTGTCCTCCACTCGTTACCTGTATTAATGGCACCTGTTTGAACTTGTTATCAGTATAAAAGACACCTGTCCACAACCTCAAACAGTCACACTCCAAACTCCACTATGGCCAAGACCAAAGAGCTGTCAAAGGACACCAGAAACAAAATTGTAGACCTGCACCAGGCTGGGAAGACTGAATCTGCAATAGCTTGGTTTGAAGAAATCAACTGTGGGAGCAATTATTAGGAAATGGAAGACATACAAGACCACTGATAATCTCCCTCGATCTGGGGCTCCACGCAAGATCTCACCCCGTGGGGTCAAAATGATCACAAGAACGGTGAGCAAAAATCCCAGAACCACATGGGGGGACCTAGTGAATGACCTGCAGAGAGCTGGGACCAAAGTAACAAAGCCTACCATCAGTAACACACTACGCCGCCAGGGACTCAAATCCTGCAGTGCCAGACGTGCCCCCCTGCTTAAGCCAGTACATGTCCAGGCCCGTCTGTTGTTTGCTAGAGTGCATTTGGATGATCCAGAAGAGGATTGGGAGAATGTCATATGGTCAGATGAAACCAAAATAGAACTTTTTGGTAAAAACTCAACTCGTCGTGTTTGGAGGACAAAGAATGCTGAGTTGCATCCAAAGAACACCATACCTACTGTGAAGCATGGGGGTGGAAACATCATGCGTTGGGGCTGTTTTTCTGCAAAGGGACCAGGACGACTGATCCGTGTAAAGGAAAGAATGAATGGGGCCATGTATCGTGAGATTTTGAGTGAAAACCTCCTTCCATCAGCAAGGGCATTGAAGATGAAACGTGGCTGGGTCTTTCAGCATGACAATGATCCCAAACACACCGCCCGGGCAACGAAGGAGTGGCTTCGTAAGAAGCATTTCAAGGTCCTGGAGTGGCCTTGCCAGTCTCCAGATCTCAACCCCATAGAAAATCTTTGGAGGGAGTTGAAAGTCCGTGTTGCCCAGCGACAGCCCCAAAACATCACTGCTCTAGAGGAGATCTGCATGGAGGAATGGGCCAAAATACCAGCAACAGTGTGTGAAAACCTTGTGAAGACTTACAGAAAACGTTTGACCTGTGTCATTGCCAACAAAGGGTATATAACAAAGTATTGAGAAACTTTTGTTATTGACCAAATACTTATTTTCCACCATAATTTGCAAAAAAATTCATAAAAAAATCCTACAATGTGATTTTCTTTTCTCATTTTGTCTGTCATAGTTGACGTGTACCTATGATGAAAATTACAGGCCTCTCTCATCTTTTTAAGTGGGAGAACTTGCACAATTGGTGGCTGACTAAATACTTTTTTTCCCCACTGTATGTGTATTAAAGTAGTCATAAGTTTAGTATTTGGTCCCATATTCATACTACATCAAGCTTGTGACTCTAGACATTTGATGGGATGCATTTGCTGTTTGTTTTGGTTGTGTTTCAGATTATTTTATGCCCAGTAGAAATTAATGGTAAATAATGTATTGTGTCATTTTGGAGTCACTTTTATTGTAAATAAGAATATAATATGTTTCTAAACACTTCTACATTAATGTGGATGCTACCATGATTACGGACAATCCTGAATGAATCGTGAATAATGATGAGCGAGAAAGTTAAACGCACAAATATCATACCCCCCCAAAAATGCAAACTTCCCATTATTGTGAGGTTA